GTTTGAATGGCCAACCTTATGGTTCAGATGACCTTGTGGTCCAGTGCTCATCCTACAGTGCCACACCAGGACTCCCCACACACAATCATACACATACACAGTTAGGGTTGTTATGGGTCAGAACCAACTCAGCAGCACTTAACAACAACAATATATACATAAAATTTATACTCATTTTAATTTTAGCCTTGAGACAACTTTATGAGTAATAGCATGGTATCTGTACTTCAGGCCTGGTTGTTAAAGATTAATGAGAATATCCACTTAAAGTTCCTATGAGGTAATAATTTCAGAGTTGAGGCCAACAATGTTCAAATAAAGTTGTCCTTGGGTTTAAGAAACAAAACACTTTTATCCTCAAAATAATTTTTTAAGTGCTAACAAAACAAAATGTGCTAAGACCTAGAGTTAGAAAACCAAAAGGGAAGAACACACTCAGCAATTGTCAAGCTGAGGGAAATGAGGAAAAAATTTAAGCTTCAACTTGCAATATTGAAGGACTCCATGGGCAAAATGTTGAATGATGCAGAAAGCATCAAAAGAATGTGGAAGAAATATACAGCATCATTGTACCAGAAAGAACTGGTCAATGTTCAACCATTTCAAGAGGTAGCTTATGATCAAGAGCCAATGATACTGAAGGAAGAAGCCCAAGATGTATTGTAGGCAATGGCAAAAAACAAGATGCCAGGAATCGATGGAATATAAATTGAAATCTTACAACAAAATGATGCAAGACTGGAGGCATGCGCTCATTTATGTCTAGAAATTTGGAAGATAATCGGGTCAACTGGCTGGAAGAGATCCATATTTGTGCCCATTTAAAAGAGAGGTGACCCAATGGAATCTGGAAATCATCTGATGAATCATTAATATCACATGAAAGTAAAGTTTAGCTAAAGGTAATTTAAAAATGGCTGCAACCATACACTGACAGAGAACTTCAAGAAGTTTAAGCCAGATTCAGAAGAGGAACTGGAATGAGGGATATCATTGCTGATATCAGATGAATCTTGTCTGAAAGCAAAGAATCCCAGAAAAAATGTTTACCTGGGCTTTACTGACTACATAAAAGTTTTCATTTGTGTGAATCATAACAAGATATGGACAGCATTGCCAAAAATGAGTATTCCGGAACACTTATTTGAGCTCATGAGAGACTTGTTCACAGACCAAAAGGCAGTTGTTCAAACAGAACAAGGGAACACTGAAAGGTTTAAAATTTGGGAAAGTGTGAACCAAAGTTGTATTCTTTCACCACACTCATTCAATCTGTATGCAGAGCAAATAATCTGAGCAGCTTGAATATATGGGGGAAAAAATGTGGCATCAGGATTGGAAGAAGACTCATTAACAACCTATGATATGCAGATGATACAACCTTGCTAGCTGAAAGTGAAAAGGACTTAAAACACTGACTGATGAAGATCAAAGACCACAGCCTTTGGTATGGATTGCAGCTCAATATAAAGAAAACAAAAATCCTCACCACTAGACCAATAAATAACACCCATACAAATGGAGAAAGATTGAAGTTGTCAAAGACTTCATTTTATTCAAATCAACTATGAACACTCATGAAAACAACACTCAAGAAATCAAATAGTATATTGCATTAGGCAAATTTATTATACAAGACCTCTTTAAAGTGTTGAAGAGCAATGATGTCAGTTTGAAGACTAAGGTGTACCTGACCCGAGTCATGGTGTTTTCAGTAACCTTGTATGCATGTGGAATCTGGACAGTGAATAAGGAAAACCATAGAAGAATTTATGCATTTGAGTTATGGTTTTGGAAGAGAATATTAAAAGTACCTCGGACTGCCAAAAGAACTTTGCTTGGAAAATGTACAGCCTTGAAAGCCAGGATGGCCAGACTTCATCTTTCATACTTTGTACATATTATCAGAGGGACCAGTCCCTGGAGAAGGACATCATAACTTGTAAACTGGAGGGTCAGAGTAAAAGAGGAAAGCCCCCAAAGAGATGGATTGGCACAGTGGCAGCAGCAATGGGCTCAAACGTAGCAACAATTGTGCTGTTGTTGCGGAACCAGACGGCGTTTCATTCTGTGGTTCATTCATTCACTATGAGTTGGTACCATCTCGATGGCCCCTAACAACAACAAAAACAGAGGATGCAGTGTAAATTGCCATGAAGTCAACTCCTAATCACAGTGACCCCATGTGTATCAAAATACAACTGTGCTCCATGGGAGTTTCAACCGCTGAGTTTTCAAAGACTGCCACAGTTTTCTTCTGAAGAATGTCTAGGTAAACTTGAACCTTCAACCTTTCATTAAGCAGTGGACCATCTTGCTAATCCATGGAGTCCTGAAGGCCTCAGTGAAAAGATACAGTTGAATAAAAAGTGATAAGTGATCTATGTGAAGCAGTGAGACATGGGTGTCTGGAGGAAAAGCAAGCCCAAAGTCCTTGAGCAGGAGTGCACCTGCTTTGTTCAGGAACAGCAAGGAAGTGGAGTGAGAAAGGTGGGAGCAGATGGAAGGATGTCATGAAGACTCTGAAGACTTCTTGTGAGCACCATGGCTCTTAACTCTGAGATGGGAAGTCCGCTGAAGGGTTTTGAGCAGAGAGCAGCTTGATTTGATACAGATGTGAACAGTGTCTCCCTGGTTGCTGTGTTCAGAGCAGGCAGCAAGAGTGAAGAAGGGAAAGCAGCTGGGAGACATTTGGAGTAATTCTGTCTTGAGTGGATGGCTGTCTGGACAAGTAGCCATGGCAGTGTTGCTATTATTGAGTGATACTGAGTTGCTTTTTGACTAATAGCAAGCCCATGTGACCGTGTAGAACTGCCCCATAGGGTTTCCTAGACTGTAATGGAGATCAAGCCACCATCCTTTTGGTTAGTAGCAGAGGACTTCACCATTCCACCATCAGGGTTTCTTACCAGGGAAGGTACTTTTAATACTTGGAACCAGATTTCCTTTAGACAGGTAGCTTGATTAGCTAGTGAGAAGGGTATCTCCTACTGTTTGCACTGTGTTACCACCAGCTAAAAACATGAATAAAGGAGAATAAAATAACAGAAAATAATCCTCTGCAATTTTCATTCTTCTAAAGTAAAGCATATGTTCCTACTTTACGGTATGATTTTCCACTTCTATCTGTTACATTTTGACAACTTTCATCTTCAACAAAAGTCCTTGGTAAGTCACAACAGCCTGCATTTCCTCACTCACTTAACCTCTCTCCTCCTTTTTTTCACTTTAACTGTGGCAGGAGGCTCTGGGCAAAGAGGAGAAAGAAGGCTAGTCAAGGAAGCTTGACAACAGACAAGGGGGGGGGGGCTCATCTGTGCTGATGCAGGAAACATGGGCTAGGGGATGAGAAAATGTGAGAAAGCTCAAGTCACGTTAAAAATGAGCCGGAAAATAGCTTTCATCTCTGAAGTTCTATGTACTACAGGCTTTTGGAGCTAAAAAAATAATTGGGGGATACATCTTTAGTAACAGTGAAATTTTCCATATTCTAAGTTACATTGATCATGACCCTTTGTCAGTTTGTCGTACTATGGTGGCTTGTGTGTTGCTGGGATGCTGAAAGCTGAACTGCCAGTACTTCAAATGCTAGCAGGGTCCACCATGGTAGATGGTTTCAGCAGAGCTTCCAGACTAACATAGAGTAGGCAGAAAGGCCTGACGATATACCTATGAAAATTAGTCTGCTTCCAGGATTGCTAACCTACAATAGAGAGGTCTTGCCTTCTACTGATTACAAATACTCAGATGAGGCAGGGTTTCCAATGAGCATGGGTTTATTATAGGAAAGAGACTTGCAAGCAGAGACAGGGAGGACTTAGTGTAACGCTTAACTCCCATTTCCTCAGCAAAGACTTTGTGGTGGCAGTGGTAGTACCCTGGAGTCGGTTCCGACTCATAGTGACCCTGTATAGGGTTTCCAAGACTGTATATCTTTACAGAAGCAGAAAGCCTCATCTTTTCTCCAGCAGAACAGCTGGTAGTTTTGCTGCTGACCTTGAGGTTAGCACCCAACTCATAACTACTATACTACCAGAACACCTTGAACAAAGGTTTTGCTGGGGTTTAAAATGTTTTGGATAGGGAAAAGGCCTTGTGTTTATTCATAGGGATAGACAGGGATTTCCAGGAAATGGCTCATGAGGCGGGGCCATGCTAATTAGTGAATATGCAGCATTTCTTCAAGTTTGATTCCACAGAAAAGGCCTCTGGTAGGAGGCCTTATTCTGGGAAATTCGGTATATGCGGTTGTTCAGGACCCTGATTCAAACTCTTTCTAGGGGATGGCAGTCTCCTCTGCCCCAGCAGAAGGTCTGTCCTTTAAAATTATGCCTAGGGCACTGGGTAAACCAGTAAGTCTTGTAAAATATCTCACAAGGAAATAAAAATACAGAATTTTTATGGGAGATCTTTCATAATGGCGTGTCCAGGTTGTGGTTGCTCAGCTATGGGCTCTGAACATGCATTGCATGCTTCACTACTGCCCAAGCAAGGAGGGATGCAGGCTTCAAGCTTCCTCAGGGCTATAGTTAATAAGTGGCTCATGTTTAATCTTG